GTGCTGCGGTGAACCGGCGCGGTGAGTAGAGTTCCCTTTTCGCATTTCCCTCACCGGTCGATTATTGAAAATCATTTCTCAGAACGGTCACGAGCCCTTTGTGTATCGCGTGCGTGGATGTGCACACGCGAGCGGGCACAGGCGTGCCCCTCGTGCTGCACCACGGCGCATCACTATGTGTCGGTGCACTCTGGACGCGAGATCAGCAAATCTAAGATCGTGCAACTGGTGTCCAGTGGCGTGTCCGCGGCATACGTTGCCGATGTTCCCCGGCTAAGGGAACCGAAAGAGATAGAAAGACTCGCGGTTAGAGTGTATAACGGAGAGAAAGACGAGCAGCAGCCAGCAGCCAGCAGTTGCGAACGAAGAGTGAAGGATGAAGGGGACCGACTGGTGAAGAAGCGAGAGGGGTCGAAGTAGAAGGAAGGAGGTGGAATGCGCGGTTCTCGAAGGAGGAGCTGTCGGCGGTGAAAAATCACGCACCCCGCCACCACTGCCATGGCCAGAGAGCATCTGCTCTACATACCCTGGCTCTCAACCTACAAGAGAGAGCTCATCTTTCGCGCAGAGCTCGCATCCCGATAATCTGCTGGACGCACCTGCGGCTCGTTCGCGGCCGATACACGCGTATCCTGCCCCGACATCGTTTTTCGATGTTTGCCCGCCGGCTAAGCTCATTATGCTTCTTTCGCTTAGAGAACTGGTTCCCGGTATCGGCCGCGGATGTACCATGCGTACGGAACTGGTACCGAGATTAAATTAACGCTCGCGATACTCGCCGAACTGATTTTTAGGGCAATTCGATCGGGACAAGAAGATACGGCAGGGATTTTTCGCGATGGGGTCTGAATTTTCGCGGGTAATGGATTAATCGTTGCGGTATTGCAAACGTAGGATTAATTTGTGACTTGAAATTCGGAGGATACATTGGTTGACTCCAGTTTCTGCAATGTGTTGCCGAATTTGAGTACCAAAACGCATAATTGACGTTTAACGACATGAAGTGACAAAACATCGAAACCGGCTATATCTCGTAACAAGGCTAAATAGGGTCTATGTTTATACGAACATTTTTCACTACATTTAGGTGACGAATCAGACTTTGTATATTCTTAAAACACATGGAAGAATAAGGCTAGCTTAGTACAAAGTAAATAGTAAAAAATAACAAACGTCTTCATTCTTTGAAAAGAAAAATTAGATGTGAAATGACAAAACATCGAAACAGGCTATATCTCGTAAACAAGACCAAATAAGGACTATGTTTATTCTTTTTATGTGTCGAACACATCCCTGTTAATGAATTCTGTTACAGAGTTAGTCCCAAACGTTTTCATTTATTAAAAAAAAAAAGTCAGATATGAAACGACAAAACATCGAAACAGGCTATATCAAGACCTATGTTTACACGAACGATTTTCATTCTTTTTATCTGTCGAATCAATCCCTGTCAATGAATTCTTTTACAGAGTTAGACACGTTTAATTACTTTCTGAATAATATTCGAATAGAAAAACTAGAAAAATTAGAGATTATCATTTGAAGAAACAATAGTTAAAAAAATTATCCCGCTTCCATACCGCGAAGCAAACTGTCCGTACGAATGGTGTACAGGAAGGGGATGATAGGTGGAGCCAGGCTGCATTCGGAAGGGAATAAATTGATCAATGAGAACCTCGAAGAATCGGCGCGGGGTATAGCAGAGCAAGATATACGTGCGCTGGCTGGGCTACCGGTCGGTCGGGTCGGGTCGCTGTTCTCCTGTGCTTCGTCTCTCTCTTTTGCTCTGTTTTTCTGTACCTCCTTTCGCCCTCCTCTTTTCACCTTCGCCAAGTATACCGCTCGCTCGCCCTTTCCACCTTCCTCGCTACCTCTCTTTCTCTCCCCGGCCGCTACTCACTCCACAGAGTTGTTGTTCGACTGTTTTATTACTTTTATAAATGCCGCCGCCACCATGCTACCACCACCACCACCACCATCACGAGCACCACAGCATCACCACCACTCACCACCGCCGCCGCCGCCGTCGTTGTGGCGGGCATTTCCTTTGTTGGGGCAGCCACGGTCCATTGTTGCTCGCCAGAAAGATGCGAATTTTAATTCGATATTGTCTAATATTATTTATGTATGCACAACCTAGAGAACCTGCCCATTTCAAAGCGTTCCGTTGCACCCTTGCCGCCTTGCTACCGCGTCCTTCCTCTCCACGCGAACCGCCTATGTATACCGTGCGATGAATCGACTGTTGTGGCCGCCTTTGGGCCTCGGACACACTATCACCACGTGCACCATTCCTCCGTGGCTTATACTTCATGCAGATTTTTCGGTTTTACGGGAATCGGGAATATGTGCGTTCAGGGATGTCATATTTTGCGCGGTGTTTTTGAATCTTTGACAAACGATTTATTCGTTATTAACCCTTTGCAGACGGAGGACTGTATGCCATGTCGGAGTGCTGATTACTTGTGTCACACGTAATTAGGTCACTACTTCAATTTTTTTCTTTAAACAGAATTATATCGAATATACGTACGTGAGTTCGTGATCACTCCAACTACTTTTTAAAATTATGAGTTTATTGGTTGCGTTCATAGTATTCTGTGAACGCATGTATGAGTCTATCAAAGGGTTAAATTTCCTTTTTTTTGAAAATAACGTTAACAAACTGTGCACCATTGTGGAGTTAAAATTAATATTAAGTCATTCTATAGGTTCCTGCCGAAAGTGAAAAACATTTTAACAAAAATCCAAGGAAATTCTACAGCGATGACATAATGATCTTACCAAAAACAATAGGAAAATACTGTGGAACGTGAAGGCGCTTAGGTTTTTTTATCAAATTCGAAGGTTCCTTGAAAATATTGATCTAAATTATAAAATTCGACACGAACTTACGAGATGGAATTCGAGAAATTGATTCTACTCGACTGCCACGAGAAAAGGAGAATTTTCCGACCCGATTCTAAAGGCAGATTTTCACCTGACAGTAAATCGCGACTTTTCCCGAAAAGTATATAAAAATCGCGTTGTCACGATGTTGCATTTCGTGTTCTAAGTTTAAAATACATTTTCATGTGACACTAAAAGTCTTTCCTTTTTGTTCTTACGTGGCATTAAAAGTCACGACGTTTTACTGTCGAGAATTTGCGCGTTTTCCTCGATTGCACGCAATAAATTATTAAATTTTTCTACTTTCCATATTTTATAGTCCCACTTTAGATATCACATACGTCACGTTGATATCGTACGAAAAATTCCACACCTCTGCGTTGATCCATTTAACTAGAAATTTAGTCATGATTTTACTGCTTTACTCAACGATGGAAAATTATGTAAATCGTCATATAATAAGCGGTAAATAACTGTAAAAACAGAGAACGTGCCAGTTTCAATCTGATCGTCGAAGTTGAGCTGTGTTGAACTTAATTAGTGATTGATGACTATCTAGGAACTTAATGCGCTGTTTGCATCGGTGATTCGAAGTTCATCTAAAACTAGGTCTTCAGCTAATGATCGCGGTAGTTAATCCTGGTTAACACGGGGAAAGGAAAGAAAAATTCTGACATACTGTTAGTATTGCAACTAGGCTTCATCGTCAGTTTGAAGATGCACTGATATTGGAGCACGTTTCTCCTTTAAGTTATATTTACACGCCAATGTTATGCATCATCAACTGACATTCCTCGGTAATTTTTATTCCCCTTGAGTTGGCTAATCAATCTGAAAATTGAGAAAGATGCTTTGGATACGACAGAAGTATAACAAGTTGTACTTTTCTGAACAGTTTTATCTCTTCAATCTGCGCTTGTATTTCTATACATTGATTGCATGCTTCCGTGTTACCTCAATTTAAAGCAATACACGATTAAGAAAATCTGAGAAATAGAATTATTTCTTAATTATTGAAATTGACAGAAATTTTTCTAGATTTAGAGATCAATTTTGGTTCACCTTCTTTAAGAATTGCTAATAAATATCAAATTCTTTCAATATTAAGCATTCATATTTTCTTCATTTTTAATTTTTTAAAATTGTAAATTTAAAATTGCTAATAAGTTACTAAGAAATTTTGAGACTAACACTTCCTTAAGAATATAATGTTCTATTTTAATGCAAGCACAGAGTGACTTTAAGCAAAAATGATACCAAAACCTCGGTATATCCCTTGAAAATATTCTTCTGATTACGAGCTTCTGAAAAAACAATACTTGCAAATAACTTCTACATTCACTTCTAAACCTCCCTTCAACTATACACTCAGCGACTGGTTGAAAAAGACCCAAAGACCAAAAACGTAACAATTTTTATCACCAACAGCCCATATGAACCTACACAACAAACTCCTAACATAACATCAAAGAAACACAAACTTGATAACAGCAAAAATTCCCTCAAAAGAATAAAAAGGACCCAACGACAGCCCTAAGATTAACCTCTTCCCCTCCTTATCTCTAATCTCCAAAGCAACCCAATTAACTCCCTAAAAGCCATCGATTAAACGCACCCTGCAGCATCAATTCTGCAATAATTCATCGTCGACCAATAACTCATCCTTCCAATTCCCCGGAAAACCACCGGTGTCATCCAACAAAAGACGCTCTCGCGTACGATCGATTACCGCGTCGCATTAACGCGTTTCTGGAACGCGAGGGATGGTAAGTCCCGTCGTAGGCGTTGATTGTTCCACACGGTGCTCAATTTAAACGACATTTAATTACCGCCAAGTGTAAGTAGCTTCCTCGACGGACTCCCGAGGTATATCCAGCAGGTATATACCGCGAGACTTGCGCGCAACGCGGCTCCTCCGGCTGGAAATCAATATCAGCCGACATCCAGGTTCACTTTGGAGCTGCAGTCACAACAGAATGCGCAACAGTTGCGTCTGAACGAGAGAGAGGGAGAGGATATACTCAGTGGTCGATCCCTATTGTTCCCTCCGATAACGATACGAAAGTTGTTCCAACCCTCGGCGGCTCTCGTCATGTGAACTGGAGCAAAGAGAGAACTCGAAAACCATCCAGAACAGAAGTTCCAGAATGGACGTGCAGCATCTTAACTTCGTCTATTGTACAGTGCAACGAAACGACATACGATGTACGATGCTGTTGTGAACGTGTTAGAAATGCAAGCCTTCGCCAAGATGTCCGAGAGAAGGATCTCGTTAGGCATCAATGTCAGCATATTCGTGATACTGACGATCTTCGGTGTGTTACTCTCGCTACCGCTGCGATTGCTATTGACCACGCATTACTACGATCGAAACGGGACCGTCTGTGAGAACGACACGTTGGCAACGACGGAGAACGCGACCGTTCAAGCGGCGATAGCGATTCCGTTGGACTATCGGAAGTTGAAACGTTGCCCGAAATTCGGCTACCAGGACAGATTGTTGTCGGTTTATCGATGCGACTACGACGGTAATTGCACGTACACGAGCGTTTCTAAGCTCGACGGTAAGGAGAAGGATAAATTGGCGGGGAGTAAGAACGAAACGACGAACGATCGGGGTAACGTAACGAAGAAGATCGCTACGGAGGAGGCTTTTGGGGAGAACATGACGGAAAACGTAGGAGATAATGGCAAAAATCGTCGAACGAAATCTGTTCCCGTCGCCGTACATATTCTCATGACGATGCTTCTCATTTCAGCGATTGCCGCATTGGTTGAAGTGTTGCGAATACGTTTCGCTAGAGACAAGGTATTAAAGCGGAAACCGCACTAAATTTCATTCTATCTTGTTGAAAATTTTCATGTTAATGCCGTTAAACTTTTTTCTCCGTGATCTTTTCATTGTGTATATATATATATACATACGTGTATGATTTTTACTAATTATGTATATAATGTATAATTTTCGTGGTTGCAAATCCAATCAGTGTAGGTACGTTACAGGTGAATTTAAGAGGCAGAGGTAGAGATGCGAGTTTATCGAAACATTTGAAATGAACGTTGCTTGACAAATCTATATATATATGTGTGTGTAAATATAGTAGAATATATCGATTAAGAAAGTAAGCTAAAAAAGACATCGATAAGAGTAAATAGTAAATGTACAGATACGAACAATCTCTCTAGATTCATAGCAGACAGATGTATTGATTGTTGGACAAGGTATTTAAAAACGAAATGTTACATAGAATAGAACTCTCTAGATGTAGAAGTTATTAGCATCGCAGATTAGACACTACAGGAATAAAAAATAAAAATACACCATATTGCACATATAAAGTACTAATATACATATGGGAGAGTGTAGTGTCCTGTCATGTTTACACGTAGAAAGCATATTTTCGTAGAAAAAAAAAAAAAAAGAAAAAAGAATCAGAGGATGCAACGAAACGTTACACTGATTGATTTCACGCGCACCGAAATGCATTTTCTCGTTCTCTATGTCGCAAATAGAAATAAATAAATAAATAAGAAAACAGTACGACACGAATATACAAACATGTATATATATATGTTTAAAAAACGCATAAGGACTCGTCTAAGGCAGGTAGTGCCAGCTCAAGAAAAACGTCCACGGTGGAGCTTCCCGTACGGTGGCAGTTCCCACCGAGGCAGAGGTCTTTCGAAATGCAAGGCATGAATCGATCCGCTTTACGCCTATTAGGTAGCTGTATAATTAGAACACTTCGATCGGATACTACGTAGAAGAATAACGATAATATATTGCACGGTAAATTGGTTGTAAATATGGAATCGTAGGTGCGAGACCACCGCCGCTTATTCGTCGCTCTTCGTTCCCAACGCAACCGTCTAAGCAAAGCTCTGGCTCTATTAGCGGTACGCCGAATAATCGGGTATCCAGGCGCCGATCGGCAGAGTCAGACGAGGAGGTCGGGGTTTTCGTTAGCGCTCTTCATCACCGCACACGCCTCATTCGACGACATTAAAAGGTAAAATGGATCAGTTTCTCGTTGTTAACGGAATTATTTTTCATTGGTCGTTGATCATTGTTAACGTGAAAATTTCCCAAGGTTCTAGTGAGTCAGGAAACTACGTATACCGGCCGTTCTCTTTTTTAAAGTGGCGTGAGATTAATTTGGAACAAAATCAGTTGAGGCTAATTTCAGGTAAACATATGTAGTATCGGGGCCTCAGTACACAAAAATAGGAAACCGGCGCGGAACAATAGACAGGGAGTGGTTGGCGTAGCGCGCAAAGCCTTGACTTGCTAAGCCGAAGGCCCGGGTTCGATTCCCGTTGGGTCCTTCGAAATTTTTTTCCGTCGGATGAGTAGAGAGGGAGTGTTTGGCGTAGCGCGCAAAGCCTCGGCGTACTAAGCCGAAGGCCCGGGTTCGATTCCCGTTGGGTCCTTCGAAATTTTTTTCCGTCGGATCCTACATATGAGGGCCCGTCCGGGATGGAGGCATCTAGGCTGCACGAAACCAGGCGCTGTGAGATGAAAACATGTGATGAGAGGGTTTTGCACGTCTCCCAAAAAGAGTTGAGAAACAGAGTTTCGGCTGGAGAGTAGTGCCACTGTGTGGGGGAGTGTAACCCAAAGTGTTGAGTTGAGTTTGTGTTGCATTCAGGACAATTCCAGGGCGAATGTCAGTTCAGGATGGCCGAGTGTAGTATCGGGGCCTCCGTACCCAGAAATAGGAAACCTCGAAGGGACAATAGAGAGGGAGTGGTTGGCGTAGCGCGCAAAGCCTCGGCTTGCTAAGCCGAAGGCCCGGGTTCGATTCCCGTTGGGTCCTTCGAAATTTTTTTCCGTCGGATCCTACATATGAGGGCCCGTCCGGGATGGAGGCATCTAGGCTGCACGAAGCACAGGAGGTGTGCGATGAAAACATGTTGAGGGTTGCACGTCTCCCAAAAATGCGTTGTTTCGGCTGTGTGCCACTGTGTGGGGGAGTGTGCCCGAAAGTGTTGCACTGAGGACATTCGAGGGTGAATGTCAGTTCAGGATGGCCGAGTGTAGTATCGGGGCCTCCATGCCCAAATAGGAAACCTCGAAGGGAGAATAGAGAGGGAGTGGTTGGCGTAGCGCGCAAAGCCTCGGCTTGCTATAAGCCCTAAGGCCCCGGGTTCGATTCCCGTTGGGTCCCTCAATACTTTTCCATCGTCGGTTCCTACACATAGAAGTCTTCTTTTTTAAGTTTGACTGAGAGACTTCTTTCGATGAGTTCACGAGAATACTGTAGTGTATTGATTTTTTTGTTGTAAATATGAAAAGAAGATATTTGTGTCTAGCCGAAATTAGTCTCAACTCCTTTTTCTCAAAATTGGACTTGCACCCTATAAAAAGACGACTCAAATGTTATTGCATAAAGGTTTGTTTTGGTGCAAACCTCGTTTTCCTTGAACAATATTAATAATTGTTATCGTGCAATACAAGTTTAGAAATCTTAGACGAAATTATTAACATTTGCCAATATTTTTTAATTAATTCAAACGCAATTTTTAAATATCTCGATATAAGAATAAATGGGCTTGTACCGCATTGAAAAAACAAACGACTCAATATTACGTTTAAATCGATATTACTATGTCCTTTGGAAATTGGAAGATGAAATAGAATCTCGCTGTACAAAGAGTATAATCAGTAGAAGAAATATTTTACGTGTTCAAGAGTATCGACAAACGAATTTGGATAATTCAAAGATAGCTAAAAATTGAAATATTGATAATTTGTGGCATGATTTAAGCGTTGATACGGAAAGAAATTAAATTATGCATAAATTATTAGAAAAATTACATTTCTTGCGATAGATTGTACAATTAAATGCTTGAACGAAATGACTATATTCAATGTATTAAAAATGATCCAAGTTATTCAAGCAAATAGAGTTACATTCTTACGCGGTAATCGAATTATTCGTTTTATTATTCGAACACTGTGATTAGCTTGAGAAGAATTTTCTTTTCAAATCCAAATCTACCATACACGTATATTTTATTATTAATTCATTTCTATCGTTGCAACAATTTATCTCCACGCTGTTTAACAATGCCAATCTCATATGTAAATGTTTAAAAATTAAATTACTCTTTAAAAATAAGAGAAACACTGTAATTCTAATTCTGCTGTTTGTATTCGTTTCAGTTAAGATCAGTCGAGTTCTTTGAAAATTTATTCGCGTTAAAACCAACAGGGTACACGTCTTAGACTGAATGGTACGTTTCGTCAAATGTAGGTACAGTAGATAAGAGCAAGAATTTTCTTCGAAGACTAATACAATTTTTACATTGTTTCGTCAGGTCTCACACATCGCACAACAATCACGTTCACGAATTTCAAATAGAAACAGATTCTTAGTACTTCGTGAACCCACCACCCTACAGAACTTCCAATGATATCGTTGTTTCTTCCAGCTCGTATTTCGCAATTTCTGACAATTTATCTGAAACATTTCGCATTAGCCAAAAAAAAAAAAAAAGAACACTTTTTAACACTTGTCCCCGCTGCAAACGTAGGCGATAAATCTGATTGCCACTGTTTCACGTGAACCATAATTTTAATCATTTCTGTTCTCCGTAAGGTAATTTTTACACATTTTCTCTGCTCTAATAGTTTTCCCTCTTTGCAACGAAAAGTATGAATATGAATCTTGCAATTGAAACGAATCGTATTTTCTGCTGTGTTGAACAAAAAGGGAGACAAATTTTGCTTTACTTTGTTCCAAATGAAAATATATTATGTCAAACATTTCAATTTTTATGTAAAAACGGTATATTTAACGCGTCAGGCGCCAAGCCTGTTTTGCCTTCCTTTCCGTTTAGCCCGCGATATCCGATTTTACCGATATGCTGGCGGCCGGAGATCTGTGTAAGGTTGCGATAAGACTGCATGTGTTTTAGTAATACTCGTTGAAATTTCTTTTTTGGTAACAAGTAATATTTAGGTACATTCTTTTATGATCTCCAAATTATTAAAAATTTA